TCGCCCACATGGCAAATTTCCAATCGCTGGATGGTGGCTGCTTTCGAAATCGCAGCACGGAGTCCGCTAGCCAGGCGACATAATTTCAAGCCAGGGATCCAACCAAGTGCGCCAGGAGGAGCACTCGTCGGAAGCTTCCATTCCATCTCAGCCCTGCGCGGTGCCCCGATCTGCGGAAAGAATGCGCCCGCATCCCGCGCAGCTGGAGGCGCATCAATTCACCTGTCGCCGCCGCATTCCGGCAATCCTGCAAGTGTGGCCGGCTCGAGGACGGGGACTGTGGTCGGGGACTGGGAACGGTTGGCTGCGCGCAGATGGGTGTGAGCGCTTGGGGTTTCTCGTTGGGGGCGCGTCCTTGGATCGATGCCAAATGGACGCAAGGATCAGCGCTGCAGGCGCGCCCTTCGTCGCGTCCGCAGGTGCCGCCCGCCGCGAATGCGTCATGCTGGGCAGTCAGTCAAGGGTGATGACCGGCTGATGACCTGATGGCAATGATGGTTTGGAGGCAGCCCTGGAACCTGCTCGCCAGTGTGCTGTTGCCCAGTCAGCATTGTTGCATTCTCGCAGCGCTCATTGCCCTTTCTGTGGGCGCCCAGCCTCATTCTTTCCGCATTCCCTTGGATGGGTGTTCTCAATGCCACGGCGGCATCGAACCCCGGCATGGCTAGGACGAAACACAGTCCCAGTTGTCAACACGCCCATCACAGCAGAAGTTACGTGTCACAGGCAGGTTGATGGCCTAAAGTCCCTTCATCTCCACGGAGGTAACGAATGTTCCAGGGCGTGGTCACCGCCTGATCGACTACTACACATGCCATTGGACAAGCACCGTCAGCACAGGCACACAGCCATTACTGGGAATATTCCCACGCAGAACCACAACGCCCTTATTCCTGCTGCGGCCTTGGTTGTCTTGAATGTGAATTCTGCCGTGCTTAACCACCACAGTATGTTCAACCTTCCTGCATTTTGAACTTCAGCATTGCGATTTCGCTCTGCACGTTTTTCACAGACCGTTACAGTTTTGCGCCCCGCATCATGGGCACCGCCAGCAATGCAGCTCCGCCCAGCCTGCATGGCCTTAAATGCTGGGTTTCCGCCAGAGCGCCACGTGCACCCGGGGTCGCTTGACGCCGCCAGCAGTCCAGAGACCCTCGCCTCGCGGGCCAGGGCTGCTCCGCCAATTTCTGGCATCGTTCCATCTTCATTATTGTTTCGCAAGCTTGCGATTCTTAAGAAAAGGCCAAACGTTACGTCATGATGCGGAAGGGTGGAACACGCTAAGTCAGTTTATGTGAGCGCTGCGTTGTTGCCTTGCTGCATAACGATCGTAGCAGACTGCTGCGAAGGCGATGGTCAAAAAACGTCACAATCGATTTGTGCCGTGTTTGGACTGGTGGTTCGATAACCAAGTATAATTACTTGCACCAATATAATCGAGCTTGCCGGCGGGAATTTCTAGGGACGGAAACTATTCTGCGCTGCAGACAAAATGAACGTGGGCGCTGTCCTGAGCGTACCGGGCAGAATCTCTACCGGAAGGATGTGAATTTGCGACGGGTGAATTCATTGGTTGTTGCAGCATGTGATCCAAAGAGCTCCGACTTTCCTGCGCGATGTGCTGCCATATACTGGCACGAAGCAGTAAGTTCCCAGGCTGTGGATCAACTCTCTTTAAATAGTTTAGGAGCGATAAAGAACAGACACAATGGCTGAAGTGCATTGCGCCGTTGAGTGTTTTCGGCGCTTCTGCACATTGGAATGCGTGCTGCCAGATGCAAGCGTGCAATAGTCCCATGATCATGGCGGTATCATGCATGATAGGGATCGAGGCACGTCTCCTTCGCCCTGAAAGGACATGCGGATCGCTGAGTCTGGAAAATTCTTGATGGAATCGCTGTCCAAATTTAAATTGCTTTGATGTCCACGTCGCCTCCATCTTCAACGACGACATGCACCATTTCATGCGCATGCCAAGCTGTTCCCTCAATGCATGCCTTCGTGCAATTCACATATCATACATACATACACACTGCACATTCATGTCATCGCTCCATGTCTATACTGCGTTCAATGCCCACCTTCCAAGACAGCGCCTCTGTAACACGCACAAAATCGCAACACCTTTTTGTCGCGATGCTTGGCTCAGATGAGCAGTTTCGTTCCAAGCGCCTACTGAGGACAGAAAACGAGGCCGCACTGAAGACGGTCTGCCGTCGCCTCCTTCAAGATGGCCATCGCCGATACACGGACGGTGGGAAGGCCTTATCTGTTCGCCTCACGCTGTGCCAGCGGAGCTCGTTCCAGGCACTTGAAACTTCCAAACTCGTTCAGCACTGCTGAGTAACGCTGACAACTCTCAGAAAGGCTCTGTTCGAGATATGGGATGGAGACACTAAGGGAGTCACAGCCATTAGTTCGAGACCGCTCGAAGTCACTGAAGACGACGATGTCCTGCAAAGATGGTGGGAAAATCCATACAGGTTGTCGTTGGAAGATGCAAAATCATGGATTTTTCACCACATGAGAAGGGGTCACAATGACCACCCGTATTTGGACAGAGCGGATTGCATCTGATGTCCGTAGCCCAGTTTGCATTGGGCATCACGCTTTTGTGATGGCCAGAGACCCTGTCGCGCAAAGCACACAGGGCCGGTCACGGTCTGTGCACTCAATTGATAACACGGAAAGTAACAAGACAAGCCAAAAAATACTATACTATTTAGCGTTTCGCCAATTTATAAAAAGCGAACGAAGTGTAGTGACTGCTGCTATAGCACCCACAGTAAGAATTCCAAATTATAAATGTCCTCAAATCCTATCGCGTAATGGAATTTGTTGAGTATTTGGATCAATTGGCATGCACATTGTCCAACAGACAGTGTTTCATGATGCAGACATGTCGGCATCCAGACACTTCGAAGAGTGTATGATCCAGGGACACCCAATCACCATCCGTGCCAATCTGAGTGCCGAACCGCAACGAAGCGATGAAAGCCAACAGCGTCGCTGGAAATTTTGCACAAACATGGCATCGACGCACCAACCTTTCTCGCCCGTGGAAGCGAAGTATTCACCAGCAAGTTTGGCTGGAAGCTTGCCCTCGTAACGCATAGTGACCTCAACGTGGAACTTCCCGCCTGTTAAAAAGTTTCAATAGTTTCAGTACACATTTAGTTTGAATATCCCTGTGTCCACTTGTAATGCATGCTCTGGTTTGATCGGTGTAATAGAAAGTATATAATGCATGTGAAGCCTCTAAGTATAAATTAAAACAGCTCGGGACGACGCCAACGGCATTCAATCACTAGAACTGCTTTGAATTTGCCACACGGCAGCGACATACTGCAGCAGAAAGGAAGGAAAAGAAGTTTCACCATATGGCATATAAGCATTGCTGGTGTCACTTAAAAGAATGTGTCTGCATTGCCCACGTGTGATATTGGGTATCTTTTGGTTGCCGATATTCGCATCTGACTTCGGTTCTGGTTCTAATTTCTCCGCATTCTTTCCTGGGAAACGAGTGGTCGACTTTAAACACGACTCAAACTGCTACAAATCACTCAAGAACAACTGGATGCATTATTATATATCTGCATCAATAGATGGCCTTGCATACATGTTAAAGATCCTCTCAGGTAACAATAAAGTGAATACCACTGCTATTCACACTCAGGAGCACGCTCAATTGTCTTGTGGTATCCACATGGCGATCGTGCACTTGGAGATGTGAGCTCAACGTACTGTATTGATGTCTATGTACATGGATGCACGCTGTTCCCGCACCCCCCTTCCCCAGCGAGCCATGTTTACGCATGTTTTCGAGCATTTTCCGATTTTTATACAATAATCAACACATATTTATCAACATATTGAATGTTGATTGTGCGCTCAACTTCTTGAATTCGCAGAACCTGCACGAGCATCTCCGGCGTGCAAAGAAGTTTGCCAATGATACTTTACATATAATTTCAGTAATCAATGAAAAATAGGTATAGATCTCCAACGCTTAAGCTCATTGCTTACAAATATCCATAGGGAACAAGATCAAATTGGTGCTTAAAGAAATCCCTATAAATCATTGTGGCACACTCACCAGAAACCACGGCTGCCTCATACACAGCGGGCAGTTTCTCCAATTCGGTGTACTTTGCTCCCTTCACAGCCTCTCCCCATCGATAAACCTCGGCTTTCGTGTCGAACACACCTTTCACCTAACCACAGAATGGTATTCAAGGCAGGTGATGATAGTCGTTAGATTCCCATCTCGATTTGTGCAAACCTGCCAATACCCACTTGTCCCTTCCAGGGAACTATGCGATATTATGTGATACTGCGTCATGCAACACATGTAGCGCATCGTATCACGCAACTCTTCAATAAGATGAATTCTTCCATGGCTGTAGGCTTGTCATTTCGCAACCTTGTGCGGCATTCAGCGCATCCCGAACGCCGCATGCAGAATTAGCGTCCTGTATCGGAATATTTAATACGTCCCATTGCCAAAGCACCAAAGCAACGATCCGCCCCCGATATTTTGCATCCGACCATGTCCATGCTTAGCATTGAAGGTGGCGAAATTTGCGTATTCATACACAGCTTATTTGTTGATCATCATTTACTGCTAGCTCGTAATTGCATTTTCGCAGGAATGCTTCAACGCATTTGACAGTGAATTTAAATATGTCAGGGACATTACCTTTAATATTAATTTTATTAATATTTATTTGATATTAACTTTAAAATATGCCAGGGGTATTCCCTTGGTATCGTGTTAGGAAGTGAACTGCTCCATAGCGCTCGTGCTGCACGCTCTGCTGAAAGGTGAGCCAGTTTGGGAGAGGGGTGGATACTCTGCCATCCACAATGTACACGTTTGTGACCACCGGATGTAAATGTGTCTGAAAATGGCATGTGCCAACACAATGAGCGAAATTCGCCACGCGGGCACAGCGGGTGTAAGAATCATTGCGGACTAATACATGTTGCATCCACTTTGCCTAAATGGATGGTTGCCTGTGCACCACCTGGAATGATCCGTCATCATCTTCGCATCCTCCGTACACCGATCCATCTTTCAGAAATTCCAGATTATACTTGACATGTTTCATCTTTCCACGCTCCTCATACTTTCCAAAATACCTGTGGCGCACACATCGAAATTGATGCAAGATCCCACAGTCCCCTTCCCTCCTTTTCCTTCCTTTTCAACGTCAATGATACAACATTATTCGGGTTTTAGTGGCGATCAGAACCCTGGCCACTGGCATTTTACCGATTGATCCCCTTGGCGATTGCCTGAGACTGAGTAGTATTGGATTTCATGTAAGTATTTTAGATTTGACGAGGCCAAGCAACATCATGGCCTGAGTATGTGTCACAGCCATCACTTGTATGTGGAATTGCCAAAACACAAGTTCCTCTCTTTTTACCTGTGGATGCCACTGCAAGTACAACCACTGTCTGTTTGCTTTGCAGACGGGCAGCCATCTGAAAAATTATTGTGCGAGGGACAGAAAATATTCTGATACATAAATTGGCCGTCATCACACAGAAGCAGCAAGGGTACCACTGTGTCTTTCGAAGGCAACTCTAACAAGGAATTAGGGCACCTGCGATGTAAGTTTCCAGGTAATTTTTGAGCATATCAGTTATGGTTTGTCTTCATCTTGCCTTGTGTTAATGAGGCAGCACTCACAAATTGTATCAGCTGTGCGGACCCTGAGTCACCCCTAGTGCACCTTTAAAACGCAATGCAATCAGTGCAGCGAACAAATGCCCAGGTTGCTATTTCGCAACTCACCTACAAATGAACAGTAACAGCATAAACACGAGTCAAATCATGATCTGATGTTAGGTACGTGCATGTCTACGGCTTAAGCCGTACACGAATACGCAACAAACATCTGAACGCCACAGCAGGCCCTGCAAGGCAGCGTTGCATCGGCCTGTCACACCACACGGCAGCACATTGCCGCAAATTGCGGCAGGGAAAGGGGCAACACAGAACCTGATGTGGCGTTGTGGCATGCGTCATTGTGCTGCAGCCACATGCTGTGTTGTGCATTTGCACCTGCCGGATGGTGGCACCGCCTCCGGAACACCATCACCCAGTTGCGGAGCTCCATTGGACAAATGTAACCTTGTCTTGATCAAGTCGGCCACCGAATCCAAACCGCCGGGTGTGACGGGAAACTTCAATGCTGCCGCAGCTGTGGGCCCAACTCCTTTTGTTGGTACAGATGCGTCTGAGGACTCAGGCGAAGCAACTTTTGGGAGAAGTTTTTCCTTCCTCTCGTATTTTTTGCGGGAGACGCGGCCTTCAGCGCCTGGCCACTTTGAGCGACACAAATCTCGGTAGGCCGCCCTCCCCATATAACAAAGAGTGCCTAAAAAAAGGACCGCAAAGCCAGAGATGGATCCAATCCTGGAGGCATCGCACATGCAAGCCATTCTCTTATGTTCGTCTTTGCACAGTGTGACTACAGCGCCACTGAAACGATGTGCATCCAATTCTAACACTGGCGTGGCATATTTTACGCAAATTTATTCATGCATTACTTCGAAGATGCTGTGCGCTCAGTCCTCGAGGCCTTGGCTGGCACTCCACATGCTACAAATATAGTGACATGCGCAGCACAGCCCAATTTGATTTGCAGAAAAAGTGAGCATAGTAATTCAGGAACGATCAGATCAATCAAGCACCATCCAATCCAATTACTGAAAATCGATATTCTGTACTTGAGAAATAAGACGCCAAAGTTATAGAGGACAATTACCTTGGGACGGAGGAACCAATTACCGAATGTGCAGGAAAATGTGGCTGGTGGACTGGATCCCATGACCAAGGGGCCAGCAGGGTGGGCCGGTTTCGACACATGCCGTTTCATAATCAGCAGCGCCCGTCCTCCCACTACTGTTTTTCAAACCCTTCCGTATAGCAATATAAGGCCCGGATTTTTTCGCAGAGAAAACAATAAATACGTAATATCCCATGAATAGATTTTTGCAGGGCAACGTTAAGACAATAAAATAATGCTCTGAAACCAAAATGTGAAGCAACAAGCGTAACGATAAAGTTTTCAGATGCAGAAGGGTTGAAAACCCAGAGCCCTTTCCGGTAATATTTTTGTGCAACTCTATTGTCCTTTCGACAGTGCCTGCACTGCGCCGAAACTTTCGTGTTAGGCCATGCATGCCCACACTCTTGGCGTTCACCCGCCACCACTGGCATATAGGTTGCATGTCAAATTTATTACAATGGAGGCCACGCCTCCCACGCTGCTTATGCAATGCGGCAACTTGTCACTGCCAGGTTGGTACAGTTGCCCAGCTGCATAACAATCTGTCTCAATGTTGCGCAATGCTTTCCAGAAACATCCCCAATATGTCTGCCACCTGTTTGTTCATACCGTGCGCATGCCATGTTCCAACACCACGCCCACGTCACAGTGCCACTTCCCTCATTCAGTACCAAACCACATACCATGAAATCCCTTACATAATTCAACCACCATTTGGTATATTATTCAATATGACATATTAACTATTGCCCATCTGCTACATCCTCATTCATTATACCCTTCCTAATTGCGCATTTCCCTATCAGTAGGCCATGTTCCCATCATAGTGCCAAACTCCTTTGTTTTGCAACAATGGGTTGTTCTTTGTTGCTAGAGGGTGATAGTATGTGCAGTCTGCAATGAGGAGTGTCGCCTGTGCTGTCACCTGTACACCCAAAGTCATGGGCGGCCGCAAGCCCACTGTGTTGTGCCTGCCCAGGAACAAAAGCAGCAACGGCTGCCTGGAGCATCTGGGGATCATGCCCGCCACCAATGCACATAGCCGATGTGCATCGGGATTGGCAGCCGCCGCCTATTAACAAGTGTTGCAATGCCCACATTGCACGCCCGTCATTGTGGCTTGCCACCAACTCGGTTCCATCTTGCATCCCCGCCTGCCTGCACAAGGAGTCAACCAGTGGGGACGACCCTAACCGGCTGCGCATCTGGCACAGCCCACCAAAAGTCCTTTAGGCACTGTCAACAACTTGCAAGTTGCAAAGTGCTCGTCTGCCGCTGCAGCCTTCACTGCATTCGCCGATGAGTTCAACCATTCCCTGCTCACCCAGCAGCCACATACACCTGCTGTGCCGCCCTCCACATGCAGGCACCCAGCCCCAAGATCTGTGGGAGAATCACCAGCCAACCAACATGGCGACCCCGCCAAAATGGTCAAAGGTAAACTTGAAGGACTGGGTTTGGCTCATGGACGCAACCAAGCAAACTTGCAGCCGGATAGCAACTTGCCACTGCACGATCCCTGGCAATTTGTGGATGTGC